AATGCCTGCCTGCATCCCTGGAATTCACATTTGGATCGAAATGGTTCTCATCTTGGCCTGCATCTGCATCAGAGACTTCTTCCACCTCAACCTGATCTTCCACTACAGGCTCCTTGCTATGTCTTCTTCCTGGATCAACACTTCCTTCACCAGGGCTAGGTTGCTGAGGCTGGGACTGTCCATGGACTGAAGGCTAATCCATAGTGGGTGGAGGAGATCTGTTCAGTCTTAGCAATTCCATGATCTCATCCTTCCAGCCCACCATGTGAGCTTTGAGCTCCTGGAAGGAGTCTTCTAGGCTTTGCTGCCCATCTGCTATCTTACTGTTTTGTTCGAGCGCATTGGCTTCCAATCTTGCCTCAAACTCAGCTTGTTTTTCCTATAGTGCCCGGAATCTATCTCGTTGGTTACCATCCTTGCCCAGAAAAGAGAGCTCTGATACCAAATGTAGTAGACCTGAAAGATCAGACAACAAAAGAGAATAGAGAAAAGAAGATTGCAAAAGAAGGGGAAATTTGCAGAAGAAATAAGGGAAGAGAAATTAGAGAGAAGAGGTGAAGCAAAAGCGATAATTCATATTCATTCCTAAAAGATAATTCCAGTACTACAATTCTATCCCTATATTCTAGCCATCCCATTCAACGAACTCCTGATTTTCCGGAAGAAATATCCGGAAGGAGATAACAAAAGAAATAACAATAATAAAAATTAACATAGGTATTTATACGCTGTCGTATTGATCCCAGCAGATGCTTGGTTCATGACAGCGGATGAGGGCAAGAACGTCGGAGGTGTGTGGTGAGGGCGACGGCGGAGGGAGGGAGGGAGGTCTGTGGTGAGGGCGACGGCAGATGGAGGGAGGTCTGTGGTGAGGGCTGAGAGGTGTAAGAGAGATTACACAAAGATCAGGTCGATCGAGGGTTTTATTTTATTTTTATTTTTTATTTATTTTTTTGTTTTCAGATCTGGGTTGCCACTGCCTTTTCTTTTAGAAAGGGCAGCGGAAAATAAATTCGTCCCTTTTTTTTTTAAACCGCTACCTTTTTTCTTAAAAGGGTAGCAGTTACTTGTTCATTTATTTATAATTATGTCACCGCTCTTTATTTTTTGAACAATACACTACCCTTGTTTAAAGAAGGGTAGCCTAAAATGCTCCATTTTGTACTAGTGCTCGATCGAGGAAAGTCACGGTCAATTGTATCCCCAACTTATTTGATGAGTTGTTACAATTTTTGGGAGGAGGGTTTGTGACGTGAAACAATGCTTGCTTTCAAAAGGAAAAAAAAGTCAATGGTTACTTTTGTCCATCAAATGGAAGATGTCACAGTTACAAATGGACCGGTTGAAGGAGTTCGTGGGTTGGTTTATGGATGGAAACTTAGAAAGGGCATCAGCGAGGTCGGTTTTTAGATTTTTGTGGTCCTGTTTGGGTAAATAAATGAGGCCCTACTAAAATCAAAATCTTTAAAACTAATACCGTAATTTTTTTCTAATCTATACTATTTTAATCGGATATCAACCAAGTAAAAACATATTCGGGGAGACCGTTTCTGCATTGGTAGGTGGTATTCACACATATTTGAATGAATATTAACAAATTTTGAAAGGATTAAAGAAATAGTAACAATTTTATTATCTAAATATATAATAAAAATTGTTATCCGTGCATCGCATGTGCATTGCACGCACACTGCACGGATAATTGGGCAATTATTTGCTTGAATTCAAGCAAGGATAACATCAAAAACATAATCCATACAATCTATTTCATCAATTAAACTATATAATATTCGTTGTTATAATTTATATTTGTATATTGATCAAAATATTTTTAAAGGTTATAACAAATTTATTCCATGCAACGCACGGGTAAAAATACTAGTAATAATAATGTGGTAAAATGTTACTTGCTCAAAGAAAAAGTCGAAAGACATATTATGGAATAAATTACAATTATAACAATAATAATAGTGTGCATAAGTTTTGAACCTTAGACATCTAAGTTAAAATACAATAAACACATGATCCTACTATTTCTTCATAAAGCCTTTTAAGTTTAATTAAAAACTTTTAGTTTTTATTTCTAAACTAACTAGGTAAAGATGAAATATTGGACTTCTAAAGTTTGGGACCCCTATAAAATTTGGAGCCCTGTACAGTAGCCCAGTTTACACTGTCCAAAATCCGGGCCTGGACACCACGGAGCTGAACAACTTCTGAAAATGTTCTTTGATGTCATCTATAGTATTGTTGAGTTTTAGTTAAGGATGATCAAAATGCTAATCTTGGTCGGCGAGCTGGTTAAAGTGCCATTCCGTTCCAGTTGTATTATATGTATTCATGTTAGATAGCTATTGTCCTTTAGTTTTAACCATTAGGTTTAATTTGTCAAACTATGTGCCACCATCGCTATACCATGGCCCAAGTTATGTTGTTTGTTAAATTGACGTGTGAGATTGTCACATGTCCATGAGTACCTCTATTTTAACTCATTCTTCGTGATGAGATCCCTTTCTAAATCCTAAGTCACTATACTATCTGTATATATATTGGTGGTTATTGTCTTTTATTCTTAGCTAATAAAATTGATTTGTCAAATAACTCAAACTATAGGCTCTGTTTGGCAAACCTAGCTGAAAAGCTATAAGCTAGGAGCTGAAAGCTGAAAAGGAGCTGAAAACTGAAAATGTATAAGCTCGAAGCTGAAAACTGAAGAGCTGTTAAGCTAGCTGTTATGATTGGAAGTGTTTGGTAAAATTAGCTTTTTGATAAGCTGATAAATGTAAAAAGACTAAAAAGGACATCTTTATAAAATTTAAATTAGTTTGTTTACATATTAAAATTTAACATTTTGAAATAAAACTATTAGCATAATCATGATCTAGCATCTCATAATTAAGTAGCAATATTGTAGCAATATCGGCCGGCACACCCGGGGTCGGCCCGGCCTAGCTCCGGGCTCGGCCGAGGACGGGGTCTCCGCGTTGTCCGAGTCATGCGGCGTTTGTTGCGAGCCAATGCGGTTGGGGGCATCTCCAACGGTTTCTCCAGGGTTGTTATGGCGACATAGGCTATAAAATCACTCCTTGATGTCCTAATCAGGACATCTTCTACCTTCTTACTATAGTTGTCTTGTCAATTGTCATTACACGTCCTGAACCTCTGTAATAGCATTATACATCCAATTAATACAATATTTGTCCTCGTGACGCTTATTCGTACGTTATTTCTACCCCTATTATCATTTTATTATTCATTTATTATATTAATGAGTGTTTGTATTTCTGTAGAATAATCATGTTACAAGATTACAAGAGTTTAATATAATAATACTCTAGTCTACTAGAAAGGAAAGAACTAATTACAATCAATATACAATCAATACTCAATCATCCTAATCACTCATAATCAAATCATAATCACTATAATCATGCACATTCCTAATATGTCTAACACACCCCCTCAAGCTCAAGGTGGGATGAAGACAACATTGAGCTTGCCACGCAGCAGTCCAAAACGAGATGACGGGAGAGGTTTCGTAAAGATATCTGCCAGTTGATCTTTCGTAGAGACGAAGTTGACCTGAAACTCTCCCGAGGCAACTTTATCACGAACAAAGTGGAAATCAATTTCCACGTGCTTAGTCCGGGCATGAAAAACAGGATTAGCACAGAGGTATGTGGCCCCAAGATTGTCACACCAAAGCGTTGCGGGCCGACCTGAGTGTAAACCAAGTTCACGCAGCAGTGAAATAACCCAAGTGACTTCAGCCGAAACATCTGCCAACCCCTTGTATTCTGCCTCAGTGGAAGATCGGGCCACGGTTCGTTGCTTTCGGGAGACCCACGAGACCAAGTTAGTGCCTAGAAACACAGCATAGCCACTTGTGGACTTCCGGTCTACTGGACACCCGGCCCAGTCCGAGTCGGAGAATGCATGAATGTCAGTGGATGCAGAGGATTGCAAACGAAGACCATAAGATAGCGTCCCTTTAACATATCGTAGAACCCGCTATAGAAGCCCCCAGTGTTCAATGGTTGGGGCGTGCATAAACTGACACAGGCGGTTGACAGAGTATGAGAGATCCGGACGTGTGATGGTTAAATATTGAAGAGCGCCGGCAAGGCGGCTGTATTGTGTGGGGTTGTCGTATAGTTCATTATTAGGTGCAACAGCTTGAGTAACAGCAGCCGGGGTGGTGAGGGGCTTACAGTCAGTCATACCGGCCCGATTTAAGATGTCTCCCATGTAGCGACGCTGAGATAGGAGAACATCACCGTCGATGGATAGAGTTTCAATCCCAAGGAAGAAGCTTGGCGTGCCAAGGTCCCGAATCTTGAATGCCGTAGATAACCGTTGCAGCAAGGTGTCAAGCAAGGTTTGATCATCTCCCATCATAATGATGTCATCTACATACACCAACAAGAACACACGGGCAAAGCCAGCGGAGTAGTGGAATAAAGAGACATCGGTCTTAGAGGCGGTGAAACCTGCAGACAGAAGAAAATCATGAAGGCGTTTAAACCAGGCCCGAGGAGCCTGTTTTAAACCATACAAGGAGCGTTGAAGGTGGCACACATAATCTGGACGGCCTGGATCTTCATATCCTGGTGGCTGACACATAAAGACCGTCTCAGATAGACGCCCATTGAGAAAGGCATTGTGGACATCAAGTTGACGGAGAGTCCATCGTCGAGATACTGCAAAAGAAAACAACAAGCCTACCATTGTAGGTTTTACAACGGGGCTAAAAGTATCAAAAAAGTCTTCGCCGGCCACCTGGTGAAACCCTTTTGCAACTAGACGCGCTTTGTAGCGCTCAATTATCCCATCAGCTTTCCGTTTAGTGCGATAGACCCACTTGCACCCGATAATATTCATGTTGGGTTTCGGCGGGACTGATGTCCAGGTGTCATTATGAAGCAGGGCATTGAACTCTTGATCCATGGCATCCCGCCACTGCGGGTGACTGACGGCTTGAGTGTAACAGGTTGGATCAGCCGTGTCACTAGCTGCAGCAAGGGCTAAAAACTGTTCATCGGTACCCCGAGTCATGTGACGCAAGCGCATGACGTGACTCTGTTGTACTGGCTGCTTAGAGCGACGGGTACGGGGACGTTCTATAGCCAACGGAGCAACCGTATCCCTTGCTGGTGGGACAGTCGGAGAAGTAGACGAGCCTGTAGTAAGATGTACTACTGGACTTGAACCCCAAGGTTCAGTAACGTCATCTTTCTGTCTTGGACTCTGCACAGTAGCTGCTGTAGCAAAAGGGAAAACAGATTCGTCAAATCTAACATGGCGACAAATAAAGGTTTTCCCCGTGTTAAGGTTTAAGCAACGATATCCCCGATAAGACATGGGGTACCCTAAGAAAACACATGGGGCGGACCGAAACTCTATCTTATGACGGTTGTATGGACGAAGATAAGGAAAACATAGGCACCCAAATACCCGAAGAGAAGTGTAAGTTGGTGGGGTTTTATATAGAAGGAAGTGAGGAGAGTCAAAATTTAAGACTAAGGACGGTAGGCGATTGATTAAGTAGGTTGCGGTTTCAAAGGCAGAATCCCAGTATTTAAGAGGTACCGAGCCTTCAGCAAGTAGAGCTAGACCAGTCTCAACAATGTGCCGATTCCGGCGCTCTACTCGCCCGTTCTGTTCATGTGTATAAGCACAAGATTGCCGGTGCACAATGCCAAGAGATAAAAAAAGAGAATGCAGACGGTGGTATTCACCCCCTAAATCAGACTGGATGGCCTTGATAGAACGAGAAAACAATCGTTCTACCATGGCCCTAAAACAATCAAAAACCTTGTAGATATCAGTTTTTACACGAAGTGGATAAAACCAACAATAGCAAGTGCTGTCATCAACAAATAAGACAAAATAACGAAAACCATCGGCTAAAACAACGGGAGCCGGACCCCAAATGTCTGTGTACACAAGATCAAGGACATTACAACTAGTGTTTATTCTATCCAAAGGAAAACGCGAAGACTTGCCAAGTTGGCAAGCCGAACATAAAAGTGGGGAACTCGATTTATGAGGGATGACCGGACACGCCCGTAGCACACGAGTAAGAACACGATCATGCGGGTGGCCCAACCGACGATGCCAAACCACAGGGGAAGCTCGGGCGGATAGGAAAGCCATATGTGACCTCGGGACTGACAGCTGATACAAACCACCCGAACTGGGTCCCTTAAGAAGAACCGCCTTGGTGATACAATCCTTAACAAGAAAGAAGTTAGGATGAAATTCAAGATAGACGTTATTATCAAGTGTGAAACGAGAAACAAACAATAATGAAGCCGACAGTTTGGGAACGTACAACACATTTGACAATTGTAAGGATTTGGAAACAGTGGAAATCGAAGCAAAACCAACACGAGATATACCTAAACCCGTACCATTACCAACACGAAGAACATCCCCGCCGGAGTACTCCTCGGAATTAGATAGCATGGCGGCATCCGGCGTGGCGTGTGCGGTGGCTCCGGTTTCCGGGAACCAGGTGGTCGAGACTGCAGCACTGCCGGCGGTGTCTCCGTTCACAGCAACGTTGGCCTGAGGAGGAGGCTGGTCACTGTACCGGCGGAAGCAATAGATCGCAGTATGCCCGTGAGACCGGCAAATCTGGCAACGTGGTGATCCTCCTCTGCCCCGACCAGCGTTCCACCGGCCGCCACCGCGATTATTCCCGCGTCCTCCTCCACGCGACTGCCGGCCTCCATCAGTCGACTGCCGGCGACCACGATTCGCAACCATTGCCGTCGGCGAACAAGTCGGCAATCCACCCATCGGAAATTCATCAGAATAAATGAACTCCTGGGCCTGCAAATAATCGGAGAGTTGAGGAAGAGACACCGGGGTACCATTAACGGCCAAGGAAGCTGCCATCGATCGAAACTCCGGCCGGAGACCGCGGAAGACATATAAGTTCTGCTCGTCGAGGGAGATCGGACGTCCAGTCAGTGCAAGATCCTCCACAAGCAGTTGTGCCTTGCCGAGATATTCGGTTGGTGTCATGTTACCTTGCCGGAGGGCTTGGAAGCGGCTGAGAAGATTGAGACAACGCGCTCTGGTGGAGGACCCAAGGGCAGACTCGATGGAATCCCACACTTCCTTGGCGGTTGAGCGGCCGACTGCTAAATACATAACCTCCTCGGAAAGAGAGGAGATTAAGAGAGAAAGTATAGATTGGTCCTGTTGGACCCAACTGGAGAACGCCGGATTTGGAGTAGTCGACATTGCCTCGTCAGTTACAGCGCCGGCGGAGGTGGTGATCACAGCAGTCACCGGCGGTGGGCATAGATTCTCTCCAGTGATATACCCCAAAAGACCTTGACCACGCAAGAATGGAATGAGTTGTGTACGCCAAAAAAAGATAGTTCCGTGTCGTCAATTTGATCGAGACAAAATGATGGGCGGAAGAGAGGTGATTTTGGGTGGAGTTCGGAGTGGGAGATACGGTGGTGGTCGTTACAGTTCGTTCAGAGGAGGTGTTGGCCATCGATGGGAAGGAGAGAAAATAGGAAAGAGATACCTATCACAATCTGATACCAAATGAGTGTTTGTATTTCTGTAGAGTAATCATATTACAAGATTACAAGAGTATAATATAATAATACTCTAGTCTACTAGAAAGGAAAGAACTAATTACATATATACAATCAATACTCAATCACCCTAATCACTCATAATCAAATCATAATCACTATAATCATGCACATTCCTAATATGTCTAACAATATTCAATCATATATTCGAGTTGTATAATCCGGACCCACGGGTTCATATAATCTATCAATATGGATTAAGATTTGTCTACCGTTCTCAAGTTGTTTCTCATTTGATCCAAATTATATATATATATATATATATATATATATATATATATATATATATATATATATATATATATATATATATATATATATATATATATATATATATATAGTTAGGATCATATGAAAACATGTGCTTAGGTGAGAACGTGAGAACACATCATGTGCATCCATCTAATATTTTTTAATGGTGTAGATTAGATTAAGTGTGTGCGAACACACATTAAATGTGTGCAAACACACTAAATCGCGTTTGCACACATTTTATGTGCGTTCGCACACACTTAATCTAATCGAGACCATTAAAAAATATTAGATGGATACACATGATGTGTTCTCACGTTCTCAAAACACATGTTCTCACTAGAACTCTACCCTATATATATATATATATATATATATATATATATATATATATATATATATATATATATATATAGTTGTTAGTGGGAAATAATTGACTACGCACTCAGATATAGGTGGTCTATAATTAAGTAGGAAAGGGAAGACGCCATTGTCCCACTCCAATGCCTGCATTATACAAGTATTGTGTGAAATTTTCTCACACTAAACATATAATATTTTTAGTTAAAAAATAATATTTATTTTATGTATTCAAAAAAATGTTATGAATTAATTACAAATATTATATGTCTTATAGTGATGAGATCGTCTCATGGTAAGACACAGTGTTCACAGTAGACTTATGCATAAACATATCACAGCTGTTGTGAATGGACAGAGGGGAACTTAGAACTATAATTGTGCATAAATGATAGAAGGGTGGTAGACTGGTAGGTTACCACTATTTATGCCCTTTTTAGAGGAATTAAATTCTGATCTTTTGGCTTTCAAAAAAAAAAAAAAATTCTGATCTTTTGCAACAGCGGGCTGGAACGTTTCAGGGGGACCAATATAGCTTTTTCCTTTTTTGAAAAGGATTCACATAGCTTAATTTATTTTTTGTTTAAACTCTTGCAAGCAACGGCCACAAATTTTACTTAGAAAAATCAGCGTGACCACCCATTTATTGATGTATAAATTATTAAATTTAGTGTAGGGTACAAAAAGGTCCCCCATATGCTGCTTGTGCTCTGCATGGAAATATATTCATCAATCCCCATGCATGAGCCTCTCCCACAGCTGATGTATGCAGATGAAACGAAAGTTTTTTTTTTTTTTTTTTTTTTTTTTTTTTTTTTGGGCACATCACCATTCATTAGCCTCTTCAACTAAGAAAGTTATTACCCATATTATTGTTATTGCTGCTTTGGCTCATTTCCTTCAATAAATTATTTATGTTTCAATCTATTTAATATTTAGAAATAACATTACAAAAATAATTTGATTTCTCAAAATTTAAAAGTTTATTAGTTTAAATTTAATTAATTTAATATAAAATATAATTTGTGGTGCAATAATAATATCTTAGTACGTACAATTTAATTTTAGATTTAATCATTTTAATTTTGTTAAAAATATGTTTTATATAATTTAATTTTTAATTAAATTATATACAATATTAGTATTATTTTAATCGTCTTTGTTGGTCCCGGTAGTGAATAAAGAGAGTCACCAAACCTATTGACCAGCTTGTAATGACCTCTGGGTAAGGAGACTTAATTGTAGTTGTATTGTATAGCCGTTGGCTTCAAAAAGCAACCAACCATTTTGTCATTTTGTGCAGACAAAAGGTACTAATCATTAAATGCTCCTTGATATTCGAGATTTTATTCCTAGGACACCATTTGTCTAGAATGATTTACCCAGCTCTGAGACTTGGACAAACATGCTTCTGATAGCATATGAATCTTGTCTAATCAAGTCAAGCTTTTACTTGTAGTCTCGGGTCATAAGATAACGAAAGATTGTCTTTATCGTTCGTTAAATTCTTCATACACGAAAGATAGACCCTTCCATGACTTCGGTCTTAGTTGATCTCTCGGTCTTCTCTTGATCTTCTCTTTTCTTCAACTAGTCCTAGTGAGTTAATTCTTTCCAATTGAGGTCCTTCCGTCAATGCAAGGTTAAGTGGACGTTTATTTTAGGGGTATAATGTACTGTAATTTTTCTTACTGAGGGTATAATCTTCTTCTTTCTCCCCATCTATACGGATATGCACCCCAGATCCATAGCCCTGGCCATCAACCCAACAACAAAAGATGAAGATTCTTAAACATGCCTGAAATATGAATATATGAATGTCCAACAACAACAAAAGATGAAGATTCTTAAACATGCCTGAAATGGTAGTGGCCAAGGCCATGCTTGACACCCCACTTGAATTCGCCAACATATCAGTTACCATCCTCAGAGGTATACACCCCAGAGCCATGGCCCTGGCCATCAACCCAATCCCCTTCAAATATTCCACTCACGTAATAATTGTACACTCTACTCCCATTACATTTCCCCTTATGAAACTCACCCTCATACACATCGCCATTGCTATATGCCTGCACCAACACCCATAACTCACTTTCTTGTCATGCTTTGGCCAAGAACCAATTGACCAGGACCCATGCAAAGGATTTCTGGAGACATGGCTGGATAGAGGGAGTTTGATTGGGAAAGACCTGGCAAGGAACAAATGGATTGAGGGTAGCCTGGGGAGTGCCAAATACAAGGAGAACAAAAGCGCTGCGGAGAAGGAAAAGGCGGAGAGGAAATCAAGAAAGAAGAAGTTAGTGGGGTGGAAAACCAGGAAATAGAAGAAAGGCCAGGCAAGGAGAGGAAGATGATGTTGGGTAAAATAGGTGCGATGAATACCTGGAATGGATATTTGCGACGTGTTGTTGCTTCGGGACAGGAAACCGGCAGCGTTCTGTGTCGTGTTTGGCAACACTATATTAAAGATATTTAACGACAGGGTATCATTATATCTCCGACAGATAACACAGACGGGTAGCTTAAATGAACGCAGGGTGGTGTGTTTGTGAATATGGCTATATTGCCGTGTGTATGTAATGAAGGGTTTATTGCTATTTATAGCAACTTTCCTTCTCTTACAACCAATGCCCAAAATTAGGCAATGCATGGCCCTCATTAACAAAACCAATTCTGACCACAACATATATTACGCAAGTGGTGCTGACCACTTGTGCTGTTCGAATATATGTTGTGTTGATCCATAAAAATAGGAAAAGAAGACCAAGCAATAAAACTAAGCCATATCCCACACCTCGCACGTGTGCCGAGCGGCGTGCAGGGTTTTCCCCTTGTTCACTCTCCATAACACTTCAAGCTTTCTTTAGGGAGTTCAAATATATAAAGGAAGGAAAGCAAAGCTAGCAAAGCAATGTGGGACATTCAATTTAAGTAAAAGACTATTAAATGAGTTCCCACTTGGAGCCTTGCCTTGCCTTTGAATGTTTCCCAACAGATGATGAGGCGGAGGTGAATCGGGACGACGCGGCGGAGGTGGTCGAGCTGGTGGTACACGTGGGAATAGCCCAGAACCTTAAACGGGTACGAGTCATTCGCGGTGGGCGGGGCGGAATAAAACGGGTATTTATGCAGAGAATTGCTTAGAGTGGGGGATTTGGTCATCCAGTTGATGGAAGAATTCGAGGAATTATTCCCGGGAAGGATTCTCTTGGAAGCGGTGGTCTTGCCGCCGGAAAGTCGGCAACCACCGTGGCCGGCGAGGTGGAGGCGGATGCAATCGAGCGGAATGAGAAGAACCAAAGATCAAAGCATGAGGGTCGAGGCGGCAAATTTGGGAGTGCTTTTGGTGAAGCGAGGAAGAGGTGGAAAGTAGAACTAGATTGAAATCGGAAGAGACGCCATCACGCTACTGCTTTCTTTCCTGATCTGAACTTCAGACTTCTGATGATGCATTACCTATACACAAACACACTCTCTTCACTTCATCTCTCTCTCTCTCTCTCTATCTATCTATCTACAACAACTCTGTTATCTCTGCAAAGCAATCTCTGGAGAAAAGTGAACTTCTGGTGAGAGTTTCATCACTTTCTAGAATCTTCATCTTTTGTTGTTGGGTTGATGGCCAGGGCTATGGATCTGGGGTGCATATCCATATAGATTAGGAGAAAGAAGAAGATTATACCCTCAGTAAGGGAAAGTACAGGTTTACCCCTAAAATAAACGTCACTTAACCTTGCATTGACGGGAGGACCTCAATTGGAAAGAATTTGATAGTCAGATGGTTAAATTGTTCAAATTAAAATTCGAGGACTAATTCTGAAAAATCATCATACTCAAGGGACCATTGCTGGAATTAACACAGTCCTAGTTGACTAAGAACTACTCTGATTCATGTAAATATTCTGCTAAGCATGAATCACAGGATGAGCAAAAACAACGTTCGTCTAGCACGAAAGATGCAAAACAACGAGAGTAAAAGAGGGGTCTACATTCCTAATGAGTTTGATATCATCAATGAGTGGCACACTGCACGGATAATTGGGCAATTATTTGCTCAATTCAAGAAAAGATAACATCAAAAAACATAATCGATACAATCTATTTCATCAATTACACTATATAATATTCGTTGTTATAATTTATATTTGTATATTGATCAAAATATTCTTAAAGATTATAACAAATCTATTCCGTGCAACGCACGGGTAAAAATACTAGTAATAATAATGTGGTAAAATGTTACTTGCGCAAAGAAAAAGTCGAAAGACATAATATGGAATAAAAATTACAATTATAACAATAATAATAGTGTGCATAAGTTTTGAACCTTAGACATCCAAGTTGAAATACAATAAACACATGCTCCTACTATTTCTTCATTGAGCCTTTTAAGTTTAATTGAAAACTTTTAGTTTTTATTTCTAAACTAACTAGGTAAAGATGGAATATTGAACTTCTAAAATTTGGGACCTGTGCGGTAGCCTAGCTTGCACTGCCCAAAATCCGGGTCACGGAAGAGGCCGGAGGCGAAGACGGCGCTGACACGGAGGACTTGGTCGCGCATCAGCAAGCCGCAAACCATCTGAGCATACATACTTTGGAAGGAGTCAATGCAGAGGATTGGCTCGTTAGGGCTTGTGTAAACGTTGTAGGGATCGTGCGGCCTGTTCTTGAATTGCAAGCTGTTGTTGTAGCTCGTCAGCACCGGACGTGCAAGTAACCGCCGGGTGTCTTGGGTGAAGCCTTGGTAATGCATGCATTAAGATTAATTACCTAGTGAGGAACTCAGAGATGGGGTGTGAGGAGAGGATTGGGGAGAAATCGCCATTGGCAATACGATTAATGTAAGGTTGAAGATCATCGTATGAGACCACAGGAACCTTTGACTTGAATGTTTCCCGGTCCGTAGCACCATCCAGCTTGAATTGCCCGAGGTACTCCGTTTAATTCCCCATTCCGGCTAAGGATTTCCGCTAAAACCTTCGCTTGTACCGGGTCACACTTCCTAGTCATTTAATTTCCTCAATGAAGTGCAGAGCAACGGCGTCCTTCTCACAGGCCGGAGGGGAAGAGGACGACGATGACGACACAATTGAGTCCATGATCGGAAATTCAAGAACTGATCGAATTGGCAGCCGGAAAATCAAGAACGAATAAACGAATTAAACTGGGCAAGCTAGGAGATGTTTATAAGTTACGCTGCTGCGTAGAATTCGAGAATAAGCTACGCTTTATATAGAACTGCATGGGCTGGGCTTGATATCTTTCAAAGTCTGATATGAAGATTCTGAGTAGGGCAGGCCTCCATCATCATTCAAATACTTGGTCAGTGTATAGCATAATAATAGTATACGACTTGGTCATATCATTACTATTAATATATGTTCAGAAAGTTTACAAAAAAAAAAAAATTAATTGCAACAACACTACAATAATTATAGAACTCTATGTTCATAATTATAAAACTCTATGCTCATAATTTTTCAACTCTATATTCACAATTATGAACAGTTTTAGAACTGTGTGGACCTTACAAGTTACAAAGTGGACATGATTCCACAGCATAATTTGCCACAACAGCCCATTCCAAAAATAAAAAGAGCTTCCAATTAAGCCAAATCAAAATGTAGATTGAAAGTGACGATCTGCCCACTTCGCGTACCTTTTTACGAAAATCGTCAGCACGAACAGAACAAAAGGAAATGAAAAGATGAGATAGCAAGTAAGGTGGTCCATTTTGTTGACTGAATATTTCGTTTCACAACACTGTGATGTACATGCCATAATAATTGTGTGAACGCAAGAAAGTAAATTGCTATAAATAAAACTTCCATTTTTAATGCATAATTACCATAACGATTTTGATTTTTTTTTTTCTTATATATAATACCTATGTAATGACACATCTGTTATTATTCTAAACTAGTATTATCCCCTGTGCGTTGCACGGAATATATTTGTTATAATATTTTAAAAATATTCAAATCGATATACAATTATATAAATTATAATAAGAGTATTATATAGTACAATTGATGAAATGAGTTTAATCAATTATGTTTTATGATGTTATCATTGCTTAAATTCGAGCAAATAATTGTACACAAAAAGTACTACTAGCAACACAAATTTTGACAAAGAAATATGCTTCATCTAAGAATGATAAGTCGGATTTTTACAAATATATGTGACACTCATCTTATAAATTGTTTCAAATTCGAAAAAGAAAAGTTCCCGAGACAAGGAATACATGTGATTGTTGACGATATCTTTCAAATTTACTTTCACAATTACGGACTAGATGTGAATAGGCCGGATGACATATCACATGTAAATTAAAACATTTGCCAATGTACTTTGTGTATTTACTTTGTTCATCCCCCACACAAACCATGCATGCCACTTGCGCTACCTGCCTCCACCAAGTAAACCAAATGCCACTATACATCTTCACATCATGTAATCATTTCACTACGTACAATTTCGGGATCACATTCTACCTCGATTAAAACATCTAAACTTTTTTTTTTCTCACGCAATCTGTGATTCTTTAAAAAGGATGCTATGTTTTAATATTGTGTTATAAAAATATATAATATTATAGATAACAAATAATACGGTAACAACACGTTTAAATAATTTAAAATTCATGAAGAAAAAACTACAAAATCTTATCCTTTGGTTTTGTCATCACTATCGTCTTTATTCTTTAAGTTACTTGTATTAGGCACGGCTGGAAATCAAAAGATTTCCGACCCCCCAAAAGTGGTCGGAATTGAAACAGCCTACATTGGGTCAAAAACATGGTTTCCGACCACTTTTCTAACCACAATGGGGATCCGGAAAAAGGCCCGTCGCTAATTCCGACCACCAGAGACAGTGGTCGGAAATAGCGAGCACATTTTTATAATCGTCAGAAACAAACGACGAGTTTGATACTTGGACGAATCCATATTTCTGACCACCTGGTCGTCGGTAAGTACGACTACAAGGGGGTCGGATCTGGGGCAAGACCATTCTTTGATCCATATTTCCGACCACCATGTGGTCGGAAAGTCCGACGATCGGATGGTCGAAAATCTGGATCCAAGAATTCGTTTGTTCCAGATTTCCGACCCCTGGTGGTCAGAAATTAATATATATATATATTTATTGTAATTTACAGTTTCCATTGCTACTTTTCCTACAAATTATACACTCTTTACCAATTTTAAAACTAGTAATTTCATAACACAAATATTATACATTTCAATAGCAAATTTAATTATACATAATGTTGCAATTCTAATATCCGCCATCATTCAAAATGCTAATACAATAAAAATATTTCCTAAATCACAAAAAAGTTAGATTCTTGGATCTATTGCTCAAGATCATCTAACCCAACACCACTACTTTCATGGCTAACGACTGGATTAGTAGACTGAAAAGAAGGCTGATTTGCACCACGAATTGCAACAAATTCCGCTTCCAACCATGCCAATTTTTCCTTCGTTCATTTGCTTGTTTTCTTCTTTTAGTTCCTTAATTTAATCCTCATAAAATGCATGTGTCAATGATTGTCCGGATTTTGAATTCTTTTGCGTCACAGCCTTAGGGAAGCAGCGCGGTGTATCTGATCCAAATCCATAAACAGATCCTCTTTTCTTGAGGCCACCGGCTGCCACGAACCATGCATTTGACTCTCCAAGCTCAGGTTGAGTTTGTTGTTTTTGAATTGCAGCCTCCTATATTTAACAATTTTTACCAAACACAATCATTTTATAATCTCAAAATCTAATAAATGTTATGACAATCATTTTCCTAGAAATTCCTCAAACAATTACCAACACAGTGTAGCAAGACTTAATAAGACTCTCAAGGCAGTAAGACTTCATAGTAGTAAGACTCTTGAAGTAGTAGAAGGCAGTAACTCAATATCTTTTCTTCATTATAAATAAAAAGATTCAATACAGTAAAGGTTTGCACACAATAAAGGTTTTAGCTAGTATGTAGCGAGACTTCTCCCATAGAAAGGAATGAAAAGCAATACAAGTTTACAAAGGAAGCAAGAGTTAGATGTATCAAGGCTTATACATATAGAGAATCTTATAAGAGATTCAATGTCAAACATTTTCTGCCCTAACAAGATAAAGAGATCATTTTAATCATGAAGTCAACATGTAGATCACAAGATTTTTGACAAGCAATCTAGTATAATCTGGTTTAGTAAGCCCCAGATATGGTGGTCTATGGATTGGAAATTTGGAAGTTGACACAATCTAATAATAGATAGGCTTAAGTTTAAATTGATTTCATCTTTAATTTGTACAACCAAACTTCCACTTAGTGATCTAGAACTGAATGTGTGCATTGTGTGTA